GAGGAAAATGCATACACATATAGCATATAGCTGAAAATTTGATCAAAGGGAAAACACAGTTTAGTCTGACAGATAATACTTAAGGCAAATCTGGACATCATCTGTCTCACCTGACCAAAAATACCAGACTGGCTAAGTGTGTTAGGGCTCAGAGCACATTTCACAGAGATGTTGGCTTGAATAGAAAGCAAAGCATCCAAATTATAAATAATTTTGATTTGATCAAAACCAGTGATCACTTACCTTCTCCCAGTAGTCACTGGTTTTACAGAAGAAAATTATTTTAAAAGTGTCCATTTGGATACCTCAGGTCTCAGAGGTCAAGACCTCTCAGGTCAAGAGACCTTGACCCAAGGTCAAGACCGGATTAGAGGCAGGAAAAGTGTTAAAGACTCTGTTTAGACACTCTGTTTTGACACCTGGTAAAAAAAAACAAAACAGAAAGGGACAATTATGGTTGATTCTTGTACCTTTCAGACCAAGATTTGTTGCAAGTAAAGGTAAATTGTAGCTCAATCTCCACATTTTCAAGTCTGTTCTTTACATCATTTTAGTCAGTTTCTATTGCTGTAACACCCAGGCACCTTTAATAATAAATTGAGCAATAGGTGTATGCCATAGACTTGGTGTAAATGTTTGTCAGTGTAATCAGAAGTCAACGCAGAAGAATAGTGTGTTCCTTTCTGGCCTTAAAAGAAGTGTATCATTATTGATTTTATAAAGTCTCTACGAGTTTGTTTCCACCTTTTTTTCTGCAGAACTTGCTCTCTCTTTTCTCACATCTCCTGCAGTAGCTTTGTTTTCTTCTTTTCTGGGGTGTTGGTTTGGTTTCATATTTGTTTACAATAGAGGAGACCTCCTCCCACTGCTCAAGTTTGAGCACACTGGAGTTGTCACGGCAGTTTGAAACCTTTGTTTCCTTGCCTACAGTTTGATTCTCTCTCTTTCTCTCTGCTTCAAATCAGTGTGTGGTCTTTCTGTTTTGCAAAGTGTTGATGACACAGCAGAAAGATGACAACAAAGGCTGGTTAAGCCAGTGGCTTGAAACCAGGCCAAGGAAAGCAGGAGGAGATATTGTTCAAATTTAAATCCAGAACATGACCCTGTGAGAAACACCGACTCACATCTTAGAATTTAAAGAGGACAAAGTCACCGAAGCAAAGGTTAAAAAAATAATAATTTATTAATACGAAACAGCGCTGAATCGGGTGCACCAAAAATAGATGCACGATGATCTTTTAGCTTTCAGGTATTTTATACCTTTATCCCAGCCGCTTGAGTCTCTGTCTCTCTTCTCATTGGCTGAGAAGTTGGAGCTCACATTCTTCCCGACCGCTTGACCTATTACAGGTTTATTTTGCACTTTTTCCCATATAAGGCACACATACACCTATTCTATGAAATCATTATCCTAATCACACCTTTGATTAGTTGATTATGCTACACGTTATTTCAGAGTCTTTGTTACCATCTACTTGGCAGATTTACCAGACTGGTTTCTTTGGCCTTATTGATACACCCCTACCCTTTGGGTGTTTGTGTTGAAGGCCATGTTCTAGTCTGTTTCTTTTCACTTAGATAACACTCTGTGAACAAGGATCCTTTGATAGACCAAGGGCATTTTTGGGGATTAATTGGATACAATTTATTAGACTCTACTATTACTAAGGCTTCTTTGTTAGTACTATCACACTAACAATGATACATCAATTAGCTGAAGCAAAACTTAGCTTATTTCCCACAAACCTGCTAATCAACTGAAAATACCGCCCTGTAAAAGAGACTTCAATAATGCAAGTGCACAAAAATTTCAACAAATCTCATCAGACATCATGGTCAGAATGCACCAGTGACAAAATAATACACAGTTGCCTCTGTATTTTGATAGGCAAACGCTGTCAGTCCAAGCATAAAATACTTGATTCTCCCTCACTCACACTGTTCAACTCCCAAGACGACACCAGTGGAACTTGCACAACTGGTAGTCAGGGATCAACAATGAGCAAGAAGGAATTTATAGCAATATAAGCAAAAGAAAAAAAAAGACTCAAGAAGCAGAGAATCCCTACTACGAAAAACACAAAGCCTAGGCCGTGTGAGATACTTAAAGTAAGGTGTTGAAATCAAATCATTCTTTTAGTACTTTCCATAGGGATCTGTATGTTTCCTGTAAAAAAAACAAAACAAAACAAAAACAAACCAATATTGTGAGAAGGCACAGGGCAGAAGGATCAACCTTTAGAACTAGTTGGCTGGGGGGTGGATGAAAGCACCATGGACACCCTCCTGGAGGGTCAGAGAGCAAGGAAGGAGCCGGGTGAGGGACAGTACCTGAGAACATACAGTGTTGCCATCATCCATGCAAGTCTTATCCGTGCCTGAGACCTGAGCTGCCTTTTTAATCACCCCGGGCCTTTTCCAGGTAAAATGTTTGTCTGGTGTCTGTATCCATGTCTGCTTTTATCCTTTTTTTTTTTTATTTTTAAGCTAGGATTATTTAATAAAGGTAAAAAAAAGGGGAAAAAGAGGAAAAGTTGAAATAATGTACATTGATGAGCCACTGATCTCTGTAATTGTGCCAACATATGTAGAAAAGAAATGTGAGAAAGTGAGAGGAACTTACTCTATAATGCAGCCTGGTACTATTTTGAAGCTAAAGCAAAAATGCATGCAATTTTAAAGGTGATCAGAAAAAAAAACATTTTGAGAAATGAGATAAAGTTACAATTAAATTGGACACTGAAAGCCCTCTACAGTGCAAGAGGCAGGAGGCCTCCTGTACCCACAGGGAGCTAAAACCCACTGCGAATTTGGGCCACAGCTTTGATGCTTAATATCAGGCCTGTGAACCTATATTAATGTATGTAAATAAACTGCATCACTCTTGGAAGATGTCAGCACTCGTAGTGCCTGTTGGAAGGCGTTCAGACACCACAACGACCAGCACAGTGTGGAAAACCTAACTAACTGGAGTCATAAGAGTCAGGGGGAACCCCACCCGTTATTTACTCCTGTAGCAAACTCAATTCCATTGAGTTTGACGGCTTGGATTTCACCTCAGTTTCCTAACGTGAAGCAACTTTTCCCTCAAAACAGCTGCCAGCTAAGTAGCTCAGCCCTTTCAGACCCTTGGCTCTTGATTTCTGGGGCGCTCCGTCCACATAAAGTTTCCTGCAGCCCTGAAGTACCAGCCCTCTGAATAGATTTTGACCCTACATAAAAACCAGGGGGGTTATTCGGCCTAAAGCACTTCCCGTAGACAAGCTGTGACCACAAATCCCTTTTATAGCCCCTGACCCCCCGCTGATATTAGGAAGAATTACTTTACTGAGAGGGTGGTCAGGCACTGGAACAGCCTGCCCAGGGAGGTGGTGAAGTCACCATCCCTGGAGGGATTTAGGAAATGTCATGGCACTTCAGTGGCTCTAGTGCATGGATTGTTGGGTTTTGTCTCTCTGTGGGTGGGTGTGGTGTATGTGTGTGGTTTTGTTTGTTTGTGTGAGGGTTTTGGGGGTTTTTTTTGGGGGGGGGGTGGACTCGACGATCTCAAAGGTCCCTTCCAACCATGAATATTCTGTGATTCTGTGATGCTGGCTGCCATTTGTAGCCAGCACGGGGAACTGATATCTTCACAAGGACTGACACACAGTCCTGGGGGAGCTGGACAGGAGCCCCCCCCTCTGCAAAGACAGGGAAGGCGCAATAGAGGTAAAGATAAGGCCACATCCCCTTTGAAAGAATTCCTCTGCCAACAGCGGGTGAGCATGATATTTTCCTGGGACAAAAGGTGGAAATTTCGGTCCATTCGTCGCTGCTTAACTGAGAAAATTAGTTCTGAGGAGCTCTCCTCTCTGAGGGGACACCACGTTGCCTCATGCAGCAACCCCCCCGGCCCCCCCTCAGGCTCTGCAGAAGAGCCAGCGCAAAGTTCATCGCTAAGGCCTTTGCGTTTTGCCCATTCTTTGCAAAAAAAAACCCCACAAAACCACCAAACAAACAAACTCCCCTTAGCATCAGCCGCCTGTAGCCAAGCAAAATCGCGAAATCACAGAAAAAAAAACGGGGCGGAGGCGGGGAGGGAGCGGGGAGGGGAGGAGGAGGAGGGGGGAAGGCGGGGAGGCCGCCGGCGGGGCCGAGGCGGGGCGGCCCCGGGGCTTTTAAAGCGCCTTGG